CGGCACTTTTGATCGGTTATGGTATGTTTAGTGTTAAGAAGGGGGACCAGTGAGTCACCGGAGGCGGCCAGTACATAATATGAATAAGTTGAGGGATTATTTTATTCGATTGATTTTATTATTAAATTTTAATTTCTTTAATATGCATACCGTGTTTACTTACATATTATAGCATTAAAATATGTATGTCTATATTTGTTTGTTTATAAAATCAACTATAGAGATGTGGGTTTTGGAAACGAAAAAACTTTCGGATGGTTAATTTCCCGTGAGAAAATCTGTTAAGAAATTACTTTTTTATTTAAAAACTTTTTTATGTGATAGATCTCGACAAAATTTGTCATTAGTTTACTTTGTAAATCTCATTCTATTTAATATTGCTGGATATTAAAATCCTTTATCAGGATGACCGTCAAGATTTACAAAGATTTATTTCAGAATTGCATGTATAAATTTTAGAAACTGAAGGGAAGTATACCTAGTTATCTGATTATATCAGTTTTGTTTTTGAACCGTACAATAAATAGTAAATGCATAGCAGTTATTATTTATTGTATGTTTCGCCAATTATAATATTAATTTATAATTTGTATTAATATATAATATTTATAATTTTCATGAATTATTATAATTAAATATATTAATGTTATTACTGAGATGCTTGTACAAAGTATATGTATATTGTATATGTATATTGTATATGTATATTGTGTTTGTAAATATATTTGTATGTGTTAAGGCATATTTAGTGTCAGTTGAAATTAAATGAAATTTGTGAAATAGTTAAATTATACAAATTAACGTGGTTAACCACGTTAATTTGTATAATTTAAAATACATATTTTTAAAACACAAACTTTTTAAACAGAAGTTTTATTTTGTATTCTGTTTTATGATTATTAATGTTATGATTATTAATGTTATGATTAATATTGTTAAGGTTCTGGGTTCGAGTTCTGGACATGGCAGGGATGTTCTTTCAATCTCTTTACTATCTGTCTTATGGAGGTGCCCCTAAAAGAGTGGTAAGTAAATCTGCAATGATACACCTGAATTGACAAAGTGTCACCCCAGGTGGGCATTGGAAAAAAAAGGTTACTGCTAATTTAATCAAGATTTTAATAATTTTCAANATTAGTTTCTCTCGTAGTGTCAGTTGAAATTAAATGAAATTTGTGAAATAGTTTAACCACGTTAATTTGTATAATTTTAAATACATATTTTTAAAACACAAACTTTTTAAACAGAAGTTTTATTTTGTATTCTGTTTTATGATTATTAATGTTATGATTATTAATGTTATGATTAATATTGTTAAGGTTCTGGGTTCGAGTTCTGGACATGGCAGGGATGTTCTTTCAATCTCTTTACTATCTGTCTTATGGAGGTGCCCCTAAAAGAGTGGTAAGTAAATCTGCAATGATACACCTGAATTGACAAAGTGTCACCCCAGGTGGGCATTGGAAAAAAAAGGTTACTGCTAATTTAATCAAGATTTTAATAATTTTCAAGGAAAATTCTTTCATAATCATAAATTAAGTAATAATTTGGGTTGATAAATCTAGTGATTTTGGTAGGTGTCATATGCTTTTCTAATTACGGCTTACCTATAATAATAAATCAACGAACAAATGTAATCGGTTAATATGATTTTTTGGAAAAATTATGTACACAATTGAAATACGATTCTTAGTGTGGGAGTATGAAAGCTTTATTTTAATTTAATATATTTCTTGTATGATTTGATAAACATTAGCTTTTTTTCATTTAAAATTGGAGGGTTCGTAAAATGCTAACTCGTTTCTTTGTATAATAAAAGAAGAGTCTCAAATCTTGTGAGCAGGTTTGTATAATTTCTTGCTGTACGCTACAAAAAAAGTTTAAAAAACAATCATTAAAGAAAAATTGTAAAAACATGTCAATATTTTTTTCTAACGACTAGTCGTAGTTAAAACTTTTCACGTAACCAAAATTTTCTTTCGTTTTTTTCACCCTTTTTTTTCTAATATTTTAAAACAATTTACATTTAATATTTCAAATTTTAAATATAAAAATAAATATTCGCTTTAAATTTAAAGAATCAGTTGGACAATAAAGATATTTCCGATATCAGTTATGTTTGCACATTTTTAAGCAATTTCTACGAAAATTTTTCTCATGATGAAAAAAAAATTCAACTTTATTTTACATTCATTTAAAAAAATGCAAATAATGTAGATTTATAAGTAAATTTGCATAGAATGTAATCTATATATTGACGATAGATGTGATATAATTAAATAGTGAACTCTATGCATGAGTGACAAAACTAAATAATACACATGAATAATATTTTTAGGTAAGGTAAAGTTGACAAAAGTTGAATTGTCCAACTAGTGTATTCATTTTCGCCATCGCATATAATTTTTTTTATTCCGCTTACAGGAGAATTTTATTTTCAGCTATATTTACATAGTTGAAAAGAAATAAAAAAATCCGAATGAGATGCCTAAAAATTTATTCAAAAATGTCTCTCACATAAGAGAGCTATTTCATATTTGTTGACCAAAACCTACATGTTTAAAATTTCCCTTCATAACAAGGATTAAACTTAAAATTCTATAAAGATTTTAGTCCTTATTCTAGTTGCATTAGAAGTGTTTTCATGATTTTTCAGAAACTCTTTGTGCCACTGGTTACTTGGTTTTTTTCCTCAAAACTGTAAATTTCAACACAAAAGAAATATTTTATCTAAAACTACAACTCCAATAGACCCGAATTTCGGTAAACATTATCCTTTCATTGTTTGCATTAGTTTAAGGAGAGCTTTTTCACGAATATTTATTCAAAAAACTTTTTATTTACACACGGAGGAAGAAATTCAGGTAAAATTACGTAACTGTATGGTAATGATATTTCAGGTAAACTGGTGATATTTCTGGTACTACATGGTAATAATAATTCTGGTCATAAGAAACTAAAATGCACTGTATTTAGATATTTATGTGGTAATTTTCCGCCCATACAGGAAATTTTGACTTTCAAAATGATAGTTTTACTTGCCACACGTTTAGTAAAAAATACAAAACTGAAAGTAAATTTAACCGAATAATTGGTTTTTAAGCTGTGCTCCAAGGTATCATGATAAAATTGCCAAATTTCACCACAAATACCAAATTTTATTACATATTATAAAACCATATTTTGCTGTTAATTTTATTAAAATTATTAATAAACCTCTTCGGTAAAAATTACCGAGCGTTTTGGTGTTCCCATAAAACCAGAATCATGGGCTTAATTTTACCATATTTGACTATACTTTTTTTTCTCAGTGCAGTACTGTGTTTTTTGAAAAATCTGCATCTGATAACAAAACAAATATTTTCTAAAAAAATTCTAGTCAATTTTCCAAAAAAAAAAAAATTTATGTATAAAAAATAGGCAGAACTTTTATTAAGTTGATTAACTGTGCATATTGTTTATTCTTAAAAAGTGTACGCTTCTGCGGATTTTTATTTTTAGAAAATGTTCTCTTAAGAAACGATGCTTTTTAACATGTTTTTAAAATTTATTTCCATTTTTCTGTTGTATGAAATGACTCGCTTAAGTGTATAACTTGAAGTAAATTAAGTAGTAATGACCAGTGCGTAAATTTTCGCTCATCTAAATTGGTTACCCAAAATTTTAAATTTACTTTTTATTTAGATTCTGAAAAAAATCACAAAGTAACGATACTTAAGTTGGTAAGTTATTTTTATTATTATCTAAAATTTCAACAATATTTCAACAACAAAAGTAGGCGTAGCACAGCTACAAACTATATGGAAACAAAATACTAATAAATTTACATTCTAATAAATTTCGAAAATCTTATTTGCTCATTAATAACAATTTATCGGAATTTATAATTTAAATGGAGATACAAATCTTGACAAATCCTAAAATTAATCATTTAACATGCAAGCTAATATCATGGCAGAATCCACAAACACATTAAAATAATATCAGTCTAAAGAAATAAGTATATTTGATATAAATGGTATTTACCTCAACAAATTGCGTTTTATATAATCATTTGTGAATTCATAGATATAGTTAAAAAATATGCTTTGTATCTTAATTAAACTAAATTATTTGAGTTTATTATGAAATAATCGCTAAGTTTCTGTCAAAGTTTAAAGTTATTCTACAAGCTATGTATTTGAATAACTATCATTGGCATAATCATAATTTGAAGAACTATATTCAATTAAAATAGATTGGTAAAAAACCATCTTTTCTTCATTAAAAATTTTCCTTTGTGCCTTTTAAGAAAAAAAATTTAATATTTATTTATGAATAAAAATTATGTCTAATTAGTATACTGTTAATGTCACGTTAATTTTGCCAAGTGCGTTACATGCGTTACGTCAAGTACGTTAATTTTGCCATTTATTAAACCCGATTTCATGTAACAAATAAAAAAATACTTCTATGCCTTAATCAAATCTTTGTTGTTATTTGTTAATAAACAATAATTATAAATAAGTCAAAAAGTGCTATAAAAATAATTTACCATTAATTAACTTAACCATGTTAGATTAATCTTCATAAAATAGCATTTTTAAAACCAGGTGCTGATAAATTCAAATGAAAGTTTTTATAGTGTGTCTTTGAAAGAAAAATGAAAGCAAATTTAAATTTTAAACAATAATGCATTCAAAATGGCAAACTATACTAGGCAAAGGAAGTATTTATTGGTATATATCAGATTAGGAAGTATTTATTAGATTGTATTTATTAGTTTCTCTCGTAATAATTTATGAGCAAGTTTATTGGTCATATTATTTTGCAAAGCTTACAGCAATAAGAAATTTTTTTTACAAATACTTGCTCACTGAATTATATATATATATATATATATATATATATCTGTANTATATATATATATATTTTATTATAATACTGATGTGAAGAAATTTTGTTTTTTAAATTTTCAAACTTTGGTAATTGATTTTTAGTTTAAAAGAATACTCTGAAAATGCTAAGACTTTATGCCTTTTAATAGAAAATATAAATATTTTACTAACATAACTTAGATGATTAAAAATCTTTGATCATTTTTAAGCGAAATAAAACTATAAAATCTAAGGATATATATTCATTCGGATTTTCAAAAACTTCTTCATTCTTTTTGAGAAGTTTCTACTCTAATTATTAATATTTGGCCAATTTCATAAAATTGTTACACCAAAACATCACTAAATATTTAACAACATCAAAATCTTTGGCAGGATATTTTCAACAAAATAAAAAAGGGTTAAAGAGTGCTATTTACACAATTCTCGTAAATGAGAAATTACATCTCATTATCTTGCACTTTACAATAAAATCAGTCTAAAATCTTTGGCAACGCTTTGTTTACATTTACTTTAGACATACTGAGTATATATTTGTATGGCTAGCTAGAATTTTTTCACAACTAATAAAAAGTCCCTTTGAACTATTATTTTCTGAAAAAGTTCACACAAAATATGAACACCTAAAAATCACTTTTGAACACCGTAGTATTCCATTCTTAGTTCAGTATTTGCTCATAATCCAGTACAATACCTATTTGTTTTCAATTGAAATTAGGCAGAGCAATTTCAAAAGTTCTTTTGTTCCAATAAATCAGATTCTATAATCTGTGGACGACTGAAGAAAAGATATGTGACCAGCACGTATCTTTTTTCAGCATACAGCTATGGATGCGCTTATTTTACCAATTTTTTTTGTTCGAATATTCTAGTTCAACTAGAAATTTCATCAAAATAAAACCTTTATCACTAATAATCAACACAAGATACTGTTCCAAAACCAGTTACCAGTTGTTCAGATTTGGGGAAGAATGCATAGCTTGCATATTAGCAAAAACACCACCTCCGTTTGTCATTGCTGTGTTATTTCCGGAACTTTGTTGTATCTGAGAGTACGGTACTGTACCAGGATACGATGAACCGGATGTTGGTACTGTAGCTGCCGTTGGTGATGGATAATATCCAGGATTACCACCAGTTGATACTGCCGTATAGGCTGAAGAACATGGTTTTCCGTCTCTTACAAGTACAGGAACGGCAACGCGTCTAGCTTGGTGTAAATTAGCAGCGGTAAGTTCCAATGTTTTATCTTGTCTTTGACGTTTGCATTTGTAGCGTCGGTTTTGGAACCAAATCTTTACTTGTGTGGATGTAAGTTTTAATACACTCGCTAATTGTTCTCTTTCTGGAGCTGACAGGTATCTTTGTTGCTTAAACCTTCTTTCTAATTCGTAAACCTGGGCTTGTGAGAAGAGGACGCGAGGTTTTCGCCTGGTTCGTTGACGGGGAGGTTGGGACGAGGAGATCGGCTCGGTTTTGACGACACCCCCGGCATTGTTGGTGACGCTTGTCGTTGAAGTGGTGACACGGGTGCTCTGATGCTCTGGAGTGGGAGATCCGAATTCTGAATGATTGGGTGGGCTTGTGGAGTTGTAACTGTTGGTTTGCAAAACTATGGGTTCTGAAATAAAAATTTTATCAGTATTTTGATTTTGAAATCAAATATAAAGAAAGTTGTATTTTAAATACAAAATTGTGTATCATGCTAAAATTATAAAATTGTTCACGACTTTTAATTTGATATTTTAGCTCATGATAAATATTGCTTATTTTTTTTTGATTAATACACTGCTTAACTTCATTGCTTAATTTCATACACTGCAAGTTACGGTATAAAATACTGACACCATGGATGCATCATTCATAAAATCCAGTTTCACCAAAAAATAAAAAAAAATTCACAGCAATATTTATTCAATTAGATTGCTTCTGTGATTTTAATGTATTTATTACTATAAAAAATACGGTATATCAGATTTTTGTTTTGTTACATGTTCTGGTAAAAATAGGTTTTACGGTAAAAAGTACCCGCAATCTGAGTGTCTGTACTTTTTACCGTAATTTGATTGGAATTTTTTTACAGTGTACGTTTATCATTTTCACATCTTTTTATGAGACCCACGCTTGTAAAAATAAAATAAATTTATGATAGTAATAATTAAAATTAATAATAATTAGTGGTATTAACAATCGTTATATATAATAATGATAATATTTCATTATTACTATTATTATGCTGTTAGAAATTTTACATCGCAGTGAACAATGATACAGTTCAAATTCGCTGTTGCAAACATACTATCATACAAATTTACCTTAGTAAACCTTATAGAACTTTACCGTGGTTCAACTCGAAAGGAAACATGGTTCAACTTGAATGGAAACATGGTTTAACTTTAATTTAAAGTATTGTTCAACTTAACATCTTATTAAGGTTGTTGCAAATGGTTCAAGGTTGAATCAATTATGGTTCAAGGTTGAATTAATTTATTTTAATTTAATGATGTTTGGCAGTTATTGAACAATATTATCGTGCAAATTAAACCATTTTATTGATCACGATACTATGGTTTAACTCGAATGGAAACAAGGTTCAATTTAACATCGTTTTAAGGATGCGGAAAACTTGAACGAATATGGTTAAAGTTGTTTTTTTCTAAAGCGTATTATTTTAATTGAATTTTTTATTTTATTTTACTAACTTCATAGGTATTAAATTTTTATTATTCTTACACCTCCGAATTCATTTCATTTTATTAACCATATTACAATAGTGTTTTCATAACTATACATTGTTTTACAAGCAATGCTTTTAGTTACATATAACATTTTTAAAAATGGTGTTACCATACGAAAAAACAATTAGCATAAAAAATTTACTTTTAATATGGTCCTTGATACTAATTATAGCTTTTTTTTTGTTCATTGCATCAAGCAAAATAATAGGATACAATATATAAAGCAAAATAATAGGATATTGTATATAAAATGGGATTCATAGTTATTTTGAAGATTATACTTTGATACAACATGTTTTAATATTGATATGCTTTCTGAAACTGAATGTACGATCAACAACTTTTTTGCACTAAGGAACATTTGTATACATTGCAACATATGCAACTTGTGTATGCAAAACAATATTCTCATACATTGCATTATTTTCATTGTGTGCTTACAAAACAACATTTGCATACTTTGCAACATTTCATTGTCTACAAAACAACATTTGCACAAAGCGCAACATCTGCAACTTGTGTTTACAAAAGAAAATTTGCATATACTGCAATATTTGCATTGTAGGTATATAAAACAACATTTGCACTACAGCATTTACAATGTTTGATTATAAAACAACCTTTGTGTACTGAAATACAAATTAAGTATTTAAGCGAATGTAGTTTTTAAAGTAAAAGATAAAGTTTAATATATTTCTATTTCTAGTGTTTAGTTATTTTAACTTAAGAATGTCAAAAAATATCGCTTTATTCAACAGAATAAGATAAGAGAAAAAAACTTAATGTGATTAACATTAAAAAAAAAAAGGATTAGAAGTGATCATTTTAATTGTGCTTAAATTAACTTTCATTTAGCCGTTTAAGGAAATGGCGCATTTATAAATCAGAAGAAATTTTTGTATACGGAATACAAAATATAATTTTGTAATATTTGTATATTCTTCTTTGCTAACTATATACTCATCTTTCATTAATAACTTAATTCTGACAAAAAAACTTATTTTAAATTTGTGACATATGTTCCCTGTTATTATGCTTAAATATATTAAGTTCTATTATCTTCTTACATACATTTATCTTGTTTCTTGAAAACATACAATTTTATATTGATTTCATATCAATATTCGGAATCATCACTAAATTGTAAAAAAGAAAAAAAAAAAAACGACATCAGCGTTGTGGTCGACCCCTAGTCATTTCATTTGGAACCGAGCGCTCTGGCCCCTAAGTCATGGTAACTCTGGAGTTCGATTATTTTATTTTATAATTTTATTTCAGAACAGGCGTTGAACAGCCGATCCAATTTTGGGTTTACGACTAATAATGTTCAACTCGTAGCCTTGTAATTTTGAACCAATCCAGAATTCAAGGAAACTCCTGGATCAGTAACCCCAAGAGGTATGATTTGTTATGGGAACATAGAGGACTTTGTGAATCAACAGATTTAACGTGCATCAGTTACCATTTACTACACGGGGAGTCTTCGGCAGACGGGGATCGAACCCACGCCCTCTTGGACATGTGCCCAGTGGCCTACCAACCAGGCTATGCCTGCTCTAGAGTTCAGTTATAAGGAAAAGTCTGAAACTGTCTTTATTTTATAAGTCTTACTGATTTAAATTATATTTAGGTGTAAAAATTTTTTTTAAAACTTTACTGGCGCACCCTTTTAAAATATCTGGCAATTTGAAATATCGAAAAATTATATTTAAAGGCAGATAATAATCAAACAGTGTATCAAGTTGACAATAAAGACGAATCGCAATTTTATTTACACGATGTTCAAAACAGTAAAATAGTTTCTGGAAAGTAAGAGCAAGTATAGAAAATAATCATAAAATGAGTTTAAAAAATAAAATAAAGTTATTTTACGGTAAGCGAAACTGCTTGGCTTAAACTTGAATTGACAGTTTTAATCCGCTTATGATCAAGGTGAGGAAAAAGAAAAAAAACGATTTAGTAAAGAACATACGGAGTCAACAAATAAAAAAAAAAAAAAAAAAAAAAAANAAAAAACGGGTGTGAGGTTAACGATTAAAATCAGAAATAAATATGCATTTATTTTAAAACTGTTTCTTTCTTCCGTAAAAAAAATTTTTTTTCTGTGTAATTAACAATTATTTTATACAGTACAGTTAACCTATTCCAAAATATATTTTTGTAATATTTGGATAGTCTCATATGTTTTCTTTTACATACACTGAACTACTATGTAATATAAACAAATATTTGAGATTGAGAAAATCATAAAATAATTGAGAAAAATCATAAAATAATAGAGAAAACCATTAAATAATTGAGAAAATCATAATTGAGAAAATCTTAAAGTAATTGAGAAAAATCATGAAATAATAGAGAAAATCATTAAATAATTGAGAAAATCATAAAATATTTGAGAAAATCATAAAATAATTTAAACAGAAAAACACAATAATTTTAACAGAAGCATACAATTTAAAATACATTTTTAAATACACGTATGGGCACTTAAACTAAAATTAAACAAGTTTTTATTTAAATAAAAATTTATTAGTTATTTTAATTTTGACAAAAACAATGATGTAATATCTCCTGTTATTTTGCATAAATATTTTGCGCTCTTTAATCACAAATCACCGTGTGATAAATCTATTCCAAAAATATAGCATTATAATGTTTATATATTCTCCTTAGTTACCCTAAACATACACTCAACTGTCATGTAATATAATCGTATTTATTTAAGCTTTTTTTTGTACAAAGTGCGAAAATCTCTCGGACGTCTCCAGATCGCGTAGCAACGGACCTGTTTTTGCGACCATGACCTTTTGTAAGCATGAAAAAAGGAGATAATCTAAACATAAGATAATAATTAATGAAACTAGAAACAAATAAAGCTTTAAAATTTATATGGAAGTGATTGATTTAAGGGAACAGTTTACTTAACGGAAAAGAAGACTGCGTTTTTAAACTCGTTCTATAATTCTATAATGTTTCAAACAAAGGGAAGAACTCATTATAAAAAATATATCGGAATATTTTAACCGTAATCTGTAAAATTATTAGTGTTCATAATAATAACAATCGTAATAATTAATTGAATTAATTTGGTAAAAAATAGAAAATTAACTCAATAGAAGAAAAAAGAAACTCTTGTTTAATACTAATTATTAAAAAAAATATTTAAGATTTAAATGGACTTTTCCATATTTAAGACTAGAGAGGTTCCTATTAGGAGTTTTTCTTTAGTTTTCTTCACAAATGTATTATAAAATTATTTTCCTAATTAACTTCATTTTTGTCTTTAAATAATTTCATTGACAACTAGAAATCTTTTGGACAATGTAGTATAAGGGTCCATTTCTCATTGATATCTATAATAATTCTTATAAAATTGCCGTTATTGCTTAATTGAGTTTTTTAATAATTTAATTGAAAAAAAAAATTGTAATTTCTTAATTGAAAAAAAGACATATGCATTCTTAGACTCTTCAAATTACTACTTTTTAGGGAACTTATTTTAATTGAAAACAAATTATCGTACAATCTTTTGATCGTTTTCATTGTTCATAATTTTAAATTGGAGGACTTTTTTCTACTTTTAATGAAATATATTATTTATTTAATTAAGTTTATGGAAGTTTCAGTTTCAACTCACTCTGTATTTTTAGTAATAATATATACCAAAAAATAATTGTAATAGGGACAAAAGATTTTTCTTCGATTATTAGAATACTTGTTACCTAAAAAATATCATTAAGCTTCAAAATTTATAAATTCGAATTACTTTGTGATTAAAATTTTTCGACTTTGTAATCGATGTTCATAAAACTTAATATTTATACACTTCTCATTTTATATGAAGAACTAATAAGCCTTTTATTACTTAATAAATCTCTTAATA